TTCTGTAAAGGACCAGATAGTAAATGCTTTCAGCTTAGCAGGCTGTATGGTCTCTGTTAGCAGGCCTATAACATGTAGGCGATATAGAAGTAAGTGGACATGGCTGTGTCCTGATGCAGCTTTATTTACAAAAAAGGTGATGAGCCGGATTCGGCTTGCGAGCTGTTGTTTTCCTGCCCCGGATGTCGGCTGTTGCAGTGATTCAGATAAGAGATGATACTAGCATAAACTTGAGAAGTGGCAGCAAAAAAAAAAAAGGTGAATTCAAGAACAAATTAGGAAGTGGCCTTGCGAGGACTTGGTGATTAGCTGGATGAAAGGTGTGAGGGAGAGGAAGAAGTCAAGGCCAGTGTCTAGGTGTCTGGTTTGGACATCCGGATGGCTGATGGGATCGTAAGGAGATGGTGGGAGAAGAGCAGGACTGTTGTTAGCATTGCAGATGAGGGGTGGAGATGCCTTGTTTGATTCTGGCCTTGTTTCGTGGAAAGCGCCTGTGTGGGCTGTCAAAGAGAAGACACTCAGTAGGCAGTAGAACATTGATGTCTGGGACTCAGGAGGAGAGGTCAGGGCTGGAGCTACGGTTTAGGAGTTGTCAGCCGCAGGTGGTAATTGAAGCTATGGGCATGGATGAGATTTACCCAGAGAGAGCATGCAGAGGGAGCAAAGAAGTGATCCAAACTATGTTTCTAAGGAACCAGTCACATTTAAGGAACACACATAGGAAAAGAATTCCTCATAGGAGTCTGAAAAGAAGGGGCCAGTGAGGAGAGAAGGAAAACAAGGGAGTGTGGTATCAAGAAAAACCCAGGGGGGACTTCCCTGGCAGTCCAGTGGTTAAGACTCTGTGCTTCCAATGCAGGGGCCGGGGGTTCGATCCCTGGTTGGGGAACTAAGAATCAGCATGCCTCAAGGCGTGGCCAAAAAAAAAAGCAAAGCCCACGGAGGAGAGGACCGAAGGATGAGGAGGTGTTTCCTGGTGTGAGATGCTGCTGAGAGGTCAGCGAGATCAGAACTGAGAAGTATCCATGGGGTTTAACAAGTTTGTTGATGAGCTTAATGAGAGATTTCATGTGGTGGGAAGGACAGAAGTGATTGGAGTGGGTCGCATTGTGAATGGAAGGTGGGGAGGTAGAGTGTAGAGAACTCCTATGACTGTGAAGAGAGCGTGGTGGTTAATTGGAAGTATAGCGTCTGCGGGAGTTTCTTTTAAAAAGAGAAGAATCTTGAGATGTGTAAACTGGTGGCAAAGGCAAGAGAGAGGAAGAGGCTGAAGTACCAGTGAGTGAGAAATAAATATATATGCAAGACCTCCATGACTTGTAAAGTGCTATGCAAAATTAGTAATTTATTCTTCCTTCGGAGTCAAGAGGCTCTTTGGTCCAGTGCTGTGCGTGTAGAGGGCCCTTAGGAGTAGCTGAAGGCATAGAATATGAAGAAGGGAAGGGGGATTAGAGAGCAGCTGCAGGGTCTCTCTGGGCTGGCCAGGTGTGCACTGGGCTGCGTCAATGGGCTCCAGCCTCGGGGGCTGGTGGTAGTTCAGAGCTTCTACGTTGATAGATATAGTAGGACTGAGATAAGTTTTATAAGTCCTGCTGTGAATGACAGTTCACCATGTGGAAAGTATTTTTAGGTCTTTAGAGTAGAGGGCTTTATCGATACTGTTAGCAGAAATTCACTGAACACAATTCTGAATTTGGAGACAATAAATTTATAGTAACTAACAACATCCCTTAGAACATACAGAATTGGGACTTTCTCTTGTGGTAGTTTGGGGTCAGTTTCTAGTGGAAACGTCCAGCTCCCCCTTCAGGTTGGTATCCAACAAGGTTCAGTTCACTTCCAAGCTTGCTATGGGGACATCAGTTATTAATAAACAAACACTCGCCTGGAATGCTATGGTCATCCTGCCAGGCAGGCTCCCAACTTTCTGGTCCCTGTCAGACACCAGCTAGTGCTTCACAGCATGACCCGCTGAGAGTGGCGCTAAACACTAATTGCGTATTTAAGTCCTCTGTGTGTTTTGCTCCTCTTTATCCAAGAATACTGGTTAAAAAATGTCTGAACAGAGAGCAGCCTGTTCATGTGAGGGAGAAATTATACATGGAAGGCATTGCCAAGCATGTAAAATTTGCCATACTGAGTCATTGAGGGTGACTTAGCTTTCTTCTTTTTTTAAAAAAAATTATTTATTATTTTTGGCTGCATCCGGTCTTCGTTGCTGCGCGCGGGCTTTCTCTAGTTGCGGCGAGCGGGGGCTACTCTTCCTTGCGGTGCACGGGCTTCTCATTGCAGTGGCTTCTCTTGCCGCAGAGCACGGGCTCTAGGTGCACAGGCTTCAGTAGTTGTGGCTCGCAGGCTCTAGAGCGTAGGCTCAGTTGTTGTGGCGCATGGGCTTAGTTGCTCCGCGGCATGTGAGATCTTCCTGGACCAGGGCTCGAACCCGTGTCCCCTGCATTGGCAGGCGGATTCTTAACCACTGCGCCACCAGGGAAGCCCTAGCTTTCTTCTTAAATCTTTGGAAATTTCTTTTCCTCTAGTGAAGACAACCTATGAGGCAGGTGATTATCCTGACAGTTTCTGGCATTGTATTCTGCTTTTTATTTTGGTATATTTTGCCACTGATTTTGAGTATAGAGTTGTAACTATTTTCTATAGTATTATTCATATTTGATCAGCATGCTATAATTTTTTTTTTTTTTTTGCGGTACGCGGGCCTCTCACTGTTGTGGCCTCTCCCGTTGCGGAGCACAGGCTCCGGACGCGCAGGCTCAGCGGCCATGGCTCACGGGCCCAGCCGCTCTGCAGCATGTGGGATCTTACCGGACCGGGGCACGAACCTGTGTCCCGTGCATTGGCAGGTGGATTCTTAACCACTGTGCCACCAGGGAAGTCCCTATTGGCCATTTTTATTTCTTCATTTGTGAATTATCTCAGTACTTTGCTCATTTATCTATTATCCACAATACGACTAGTTATTTTATTACAAAAGTAACTAAAAAGTAATGAAGACATTGTAAAATAGATTAGAACATTTGAATATTTATAGTGTTTTATAACATGCTGTTTAAATAACTCAATCCAATACATTGAGAATATCTTTCTATGTCAACCAGTGTATATCTAAGCCATCATTTTTTTTTTACTTTTTTTTTTTTTTTCGGTTCGCGGGCCTCTCACTTTTGTGGCCTCTCCCGTTGCGGAGCACAGGCTCCGGACGCGCAGGCTC